TTTTTTTTATTAGTTAAAGTTTCAAAAATCCAATAGATTTCGTTCCACTTCACAATTGTGTCCCACTTGTTGGTGATTCTTCACATAAAATAAAATTATATCTTTATGTTTGAAGCCTAAAATGTGGCAAAAGTTTGAAAAGTTTAAGGGGGCCGAATACTTTCGCAAGGCACTGTATATGGTTGATGGATTGAAACACATCACCCCAGCAACACAGCAGAAAATATGAATGAGCAGTCCAAAGGGCGTGAACACATTTGAGTTCGTGGGTGTGTCTGTGTGCCCGCGTGAGACCCAGAGAGGTGTATGAGCAAGTGAAATGTCAACACTTCAGCTTTATAATAGCTTGTCCTTCAATCATCAATAGACAAATCTAGTAAGAATCTTCTAGATTACTTACAGGCCATCACCAAATAATGTATAAAGCATATTGATTACTGCCTTCAATAGTTTCCTGATCATATAAACGTGTTAGAGTTTGTTATATTTCTCAATCATTAGGTTATTGCCGGTTATGAATTCAAAGCCTAATCCTACTGCATACATGACATATGCTGCAGTGATGTACACTACAGTTATGGTTAATGTCAGGACTCCCTTTCCCTTAGGAAAGTACCATGGGACTTAAAAATAATAATTGAAAACAGATCTTTATAACAGTGGAGTATATATTGTATGCTACTGGTATATAGCTATTATTCAAACTAATTGAAATTCTGATAGCACCTTCCTCATCATTATCATCCACATATTTAGCTATTTAAACCAGACTGACTTACATTCAAACCAATCAATGAACTGGACAGTACAGCCTGAATTACATAGTGTAAAAGACTGGTAGGTGGGAGTACTCTACTTCAGCACATAACTCCCTTCCTCTGTATAAAGCACAGGCTCCCTGTGAAATACAGATTGAACCTTAAAGTTCTCCTCACATATCAGGCACTTAATGGTCTAGCTCTGCCTTATGTTAAGGATTTATTGCATGAATATCATCTAAAAGCTCTAAAAGTGAGATGCGGTCATTCTGGCCTTCTGCTGATGGGCAGGCTCTACTCAGTAGATGAAAGATTCTGCTCATTTGCAGCTCATTGTCCAATTCCTTTTGCAACTGTCAATATTTTAAAAACTCACTTAAAGACCTTTTCACTACAGCTTTTAAAGAAAAGTTGTTTTTTACTCTTGATTTCAGAGGCTTCATTTGCTGGCTTTTCTTTTGTTCTCTCTTTTTACTTCTGTAATGTGTATCACTTGGACACTGTGTCGCAGTGCCTTGAGATTTTTGACAAGCTCTTCAAAAATAATATTGCGTTATTGTTTTTAGCAAAAAGAGATCGGTTCACAAAA